AGCAGGGAGAGAGCAGCAGGTCTCCCCACGGTCCAGCCCTGCCTCTCACACTGTCCCCTACAGCCAGGATTCTGTGACAGGTTGGACTCATGCTCCCACTGACCTTGTTGATGGAAGACACTGGGCATCTTTCCAACACCAGCCCCAAAGTGACAATGACCCTGATTCTCTGAGAGAGTCTCTGGAGAGAGCCTGAAGATCCCTGAGCCTCAGAGATGTGGCGGGGAGTGCTGCACAGGAAAGATTCCCAGGGACAGAAGGGGGACCATTAAAAATACATTTGGAAACCAAGTAACCAACTTCATAGCCTTGTAGATATGTCCACCTGTATTTCTAGTGTGCGTTCTTCCCACCCCCCCCTTGTTAGTGAGCACCTGATTTGTTTGACTAGCAGAGCCAAATTAATGGCCATAGATGACCCCCAAGTGTAAAAAGATACATACTTAGGGATTCTGTTGTTTAGCAAGTTACTATTCACACAGATGGTGGTCACTAGATACTTGCTGCAGGTGGTTGCCCCTTTCTTTTTTCCCCACCTGGTAGTATTTTATTTTAAACGCATTTCTTGGTGGAGCCTAAACTTATCACCAGCATATAGAAAATAGGCCAGTGTTGGGAAGCCTGTAGAGTGAGGTCTTGGGATCGATCATCCCAGCATGTGGAGCCTCCAAAGTCATAGTGGGTGTTTTTTATCGTCTTTGTTTGTTTTCAGTTGGAAATGGTATTAGTACATGATTCTAAATGGTGAAGTTTAATGGAGGGGAAAAACTTCACCTGGAAATGTTTGTTTTTTCCCTCACTGAAGAGAAAATGGGGGTTTCTGAGACAGTTGGAATTTCTTTGCTCTGTTATCTTGTACCTTGGTGTGGGATGATCAAATTGCACATCTCCAGTTTGCTAGGAGACAGGCAACCTATCTCATAGTTACTGGCATGTAAGACCTCTTTATTCTCTGGACGTCTGTATTTCTCAGAATTGTCACGCTTCCTTTCTAAACCCTAAATTATGCAGAGGTAACATGATTATTTCACCAAGCTCAGGAAATCTAAAACGGGTCAAAAATTCCAGGCTTGGTTTAGATAAAGAACATGACTGGCCACAGTATATAGAGGTAATATTCTTGTAAAGTCCGTATTGCCTCTGTTTTTGCTGCTGACTCTTTTGTGACATTCTCAGGGCAAAAGTGGTTAGGTGGGAGTAGGCTGAGAATACCCTGTCTAGAGCTTCTTATAATGTTGAAAGAATTAAAAATGAACCATGGCTCTAGGAACTCTGTTTAAATAATTTACTGTCCCAGGAACATGTGGCTTTACTGTAGCTATTTTGCCCTATATGCCTTCTTTAAAAGGAAATTCGTCTTAGGTTACAATACAGTTCTTTTAGGGGTGCCCTAAGTTTAACATTAGAGTTCTAGGGTTCAAAAAAATGTGCCCGGATGGGAGATGTTGATGATAATTTGGCACAAGAATTCCTTTGAAATTGAATACGTTGCAGTGTTCATCAGAAAAGTTTTGTTGGCTTCTGATTTTGAATAGCATAATACCATAGGGAGTAGAGACTGAGATGGTTAATTAAAAATTTAAGGAATTAGGGAGCTCTACTTCATGTTACTGGAGGTCAGGCTCTCAGTTTTCCTGTGTCAATTCAAGATGGGAGTTCTCCGTTGCAGTCAGTTTAGAGAGGTGTGTATTTTACAAGTGGCTCATGTGGCTCCGTATATTATGATGGCGTATAGTAGGACCCGGACCCCCAAGTTATTTACATCGATAAATACTCTGTTATAACTTTACAGATTGACTCCCATTCTCAGCCAATTAATCTTTTTAAATGAACTGTAGTTAATTGTCACACTAGAAAAATTAAATCAGACGTTCTATGAAGATGAGTTGGGTAGACTATCCAGACTGGCAATGGCAGAAAGACCCACTTTTCAGTGTGAGTTATTTAAAGTAACTGGGGCTGTAGATTTTACAGAGAAAATGGCTGAGATAGGAAGAGGGAGATTTATTAAGAGGTTATATATGTAGAATTATGTAGAATTTTATGTTTTTGTAAATGTCTCAGTTATTTAAGATTTAATTTCCTGTGCACACTGATTAAATATAGTGGCAAACCTTGGTTTGCTGTGATTTATCTTTAACAGATTATTATTAGATTCTTTTTCTTTTTTTTAAGATTTTGTTTATGTATTTGACAGAGACAAAGCGAGAGAAGGAGCACAAGCAGGGGGAGTGGGAGAAGGAGAAGGAGGCTTCCCGCTGAGCAGGGAGCCCGATGCGGGGCTCGATCCCAGGACTCTGGGATCATGCCTGAGCCCAAGGCAGATGCTTAATGACTGAGCCACCCAGGCACCCCTAGATTATTTTTCTAACCTAAAAAGTTATACAAGTAACATAGTATTAGAAGTCCTAGCCACAGCAATCAGACAACAAAAAGAAATCAAAGGCATCCAAATCGGCAAAGAGGAAGTCAAACTCTCACTCT